TCGCAATTTTCCAACCCTTCGATTATGCGGAATCGCGATAACAATTGCTATCGTTTTGCTTCGCGTCGGTTACGTGCATCATAATCGGTATACACCTCTTTGTCGCACGAATAGCTTTCTATTCGAATAATTGCAAAAAGAAAAAAAAAGAAAGAAAGAAAAAATAGCGTAGAAGAGATCGATAATAGAAGTATGAATTATTCTGATTTTTATTCGACCAAAGTGTCATATTTCACTTTACTTTTCACCCATATCCGAATTATAAATAATTGTTGATTGGGCAGTGAAAACAATAAATAAAAATTTTTAGCTGAATAAGTATGTGTATCGAAGAAAAACTATAAAATAGTGATGTTGCTGGCAACATTCAATAATAAAGCCACATAAAAAATTTCAGTGAACTTTAAATTCTATAAAAATAATAAATATCACTTACACAAAACAGAAACAGAAACTCAAATGTGTCAGTCTTAATTAGCCAAGGATTGAGATAAATATTTTCAGAATTATTTTCCGTCGCCATTTTTCTTTTCCTTTTCTTTACAATATATTTTACAATATTCTTCAAAATATTAATTACAATATTCTTTATAATATATTAATTACAATATATTAAAATAACCAGTATCGCGATAAAAAAATTATCCTCTTCGAGGAGGATAATAAAAATATATTCCTTCGCGTTCGAAGAAATAGAAGAAAAGAGAGAGAGAGAGAGAGAAATTAAAATTAGCCGTTGAGGCGATAATGGACGAAGAAAGAAGACGGAGAAAAGAGAGAGAGAGGAGAAGAAACATGAAAATTGATTGTACAACATTGCACGCGCGACTGTGTTCACTATTAACCCAGATGTCGAGCACCACCGATTCCGGCTGTGGCTGTGTATTACGTCGATAAAAATGAGCCTCGTCGCGAAACGAAACGTTTGCATTACGTTCGGGAATTCCGTGTTGCGTTTCGATAAGTTTTCTTCCGTGATAATGCGACCGTTAATGGCACGAAACGAAAGCTCGCGTAATTTCCTCGATTCGACGCGAACGAGTCGAAACGTTGCGACGATCCTTCGTTAGAAAACGTTATTCATACCGAGAAATGTAATAATTCCGTCGATATATTCCCGCTTGTTCCTCTTCTACACGTATCGTTGCAAGTAATTTTATCATCTTGTTATTATTTATGAATGCACTTTTCATTACCGCGGAATTGTATTACGGTATATTTTAATGTAAAAATATCGTACGAAATTTAGTGAAATCGTGGATCGAATTCGTAATTTTAAAAAAAGTATAAAATAAAATATCACGTTCAACGATGATACAATGATTTTTCACGAGAAATGAAGTGAAGCGAAATTCAAAAGAAAAGAAGAATATGGGAAAAATAAGAAAAGGAATTCTGCATCAATCAACATATACATCCGAATATCGGGATATAAAAACTTTCGTCGATCACGCATTCTGACGTCTTCGTCAAATATTTAATATTCATCAACGTACCCAAAAGGATGGAAGAATCGAATTTATCTCTGATAGCAAGAGATTCGACGATGGAGAAATTGGGTCGAATGAATCGAGAAACTATCGGCTCGTCCTTTCCCCCTCCCCTCTTCTCGAAACAGAAGTTTCAACAAACGGGTATGACGCGATTATTCCTTTTTAGCGTATTTCCGTTTTCGTATTCGCTCGCGACGAATTTATTTCCAACGTGACTTTGCTACCCCCACTCCCTCCTCCCCCCACCTCCAACAACTGTAATTTCGCGCCGAATATCACTTTGTCGCGTGCCCGTATTCCGGCTTATCAGATTTTCTGCACGCTGTTGTTCCAACGGTGGATAAGAACACACATACAATGCGGATAAATAACTGGTCGTTGCGCGAGGATCGTTGCGCAAGGTGATATTGTCACGTATGATAAATTGTGGAAGAAGGATAAGAGATTTGAGTATTTTTCTTTTTTTTTTTTTTTTTAGGTTAGATATGTAAATCTTTGCAAATTATTATGAAAATGGAGAAGTGACAAAGCGAGAGGAAAAGATTTTTGAAAATCCGTTCAGTGATATTGTCACGTATGATAAACCGTGGAAGAAGATTAAAAGATTTGAATATTTTTCTTTCTTCTTTTTTTTTTAGGTTAGATATGAAAATCTTCGTGCAAATTATTATGAAAAATGGAGAAATTTCCTTAATTCAGGGATATTGAAATTGTCAAGTGAAAATAATAATATTGTATTATCGATTATTATAGTATTCCATAGAGAAGACATCTCTCTTCTTTAGGTTTTAATTTAAAAACAAAAAATGAAACATTCTTACCCCGAAAAAATTAAAACAAAGTTTCTTTTTCTTCGCAAAAAGAGGGGGGAAAAATTCAATAATTTTTTTTTTTTTTAGGAAAGGATAAACTTTCTTTTTTTCTTGAACCATTTTCAGTTCCTCGGGATAAGAAAAAAGAGAGAAATGCAAGGGAGGTTAGAAAGATTCAAATCTTAATTTTTAGAAGATTTTTAGAAGATTTAAAGATTTTAGAAATCTTAGCGAAATGAAAAATATGAAGGAGTTTAAGCCACTTCATATCTTCTCTACCTCGATGAAAATTCCGAATTTCCTCCCAAATCGATAGAATCCCGCCAGTCGAACGTTTTTTTCCGACCGCGAGAATCATCGGTGTCGAATCGTCCGATTGGTGAACGAATAAACAAAACGTGGAAATTCGATCGATCCCTTTCCCCAGGAAAATTACGGCGTCGAGAGGGAGACCGTTGAACGAATGATTCGTTCCTCGGTGAATTACAGGCTTCCTGAATCCCTTCTTAGAAAACCGAGGGTAAACTTGCGAGTATCATCGGGGCAGAAAGCCTATTTGATTTATTTTAAGCCCCGCAAGCTGATTCGTCCGCGTAATACTTCGACCACATTTGTTCCAATATTTTTTTTTGTTTCTTTTTTACGATTTATAACAACGATTATATAAGCTGTAATTAGAAACTTGGAAAAGTTGCAATTTTTTTTTTTTCGTAGACGCGATATAAATTTCATTTACATAAGGTTTTTAAATTACAAGTGAAAAAGGGATTGTTGTTTTTCTATGGAATATATCAGAGATTATCGTCGAGCTCTTTCTTCGAGGTACAATAATATATACAATTATGCGTTCATTTAATTTTTTGAAGTTCGACTCGCGTTGCGAAAAAAAACACGTTCGAGATGGAGGATACATCGCAGCGTTCTTTCAAGATCTCTTTCAAGAAAATGGGCCACAGTTCTCAGAAGTTTTTATCGAGGATCTCACGGTTCCTTCTTAAGTTTACGATGTATTTCGTCATTTCAAAGAGGGGGAATAAAAATCCTAATTAAAATCTAAATGTTGTTTCTTCTTCTTTAGACCACGAAATAAATTAAATAAGGAGAAAATTTTAAAAATGTCTCGATTTATTATTATCCCTTTAATCTATTGCAAATATTTCGAGAGAAAAAAAAAAGAAGATAAAAATTGAGAGAATTACGTTGTATCGATAATTTCTCTTCCGGGATGAAAATATTCGACGATTAAGATTGAATAATTTTCACTTGGAAATAATAATTCGTTGTGATGAAGAATATACGTGTTTTGACGAGTTTCTCGAATTTTTATCATCATCCTTACAACGAGCATTCTCTTTTTATATTTTTCAAAGGGCGGTTTGCATTGGTGGATTAAAACGAGATTATGACGTATAGTAAAACAGCAGTTTGCCCGACACGAGTGTGTGTGTAAACGTGTATCTTGTGAAGTTTCTTTTTTTCCTTTTAGATGGAATAGGATTAAACAATTTCACAACAAATTAAATTTCTTCTCGAGAATTAATTGGATTAAATCTTTAAAGAGTCAGATCGATAAGAGAAATTAATTTGATTGAAAATTTCCTTTTAATATTTCAAATATCTTTTTTAAAACATCGAAATGTTGAGATTCTTCATCTACAAATAATGAGAAAAATAAAATAACAATACGTTTTATAAGATATTTTAATTTTTAAAATATCTTATCGTCCACAGGGATGATAATGATAAAATAGGTCAAGTTAAAAATAAATAAAGAATTAAATGATGGATGCACGAGTATTTACGTATAAGACAAGGATTAAGATAAACGTGGGTTTAAGTAAGAATCTTATTTCGACTATTTTTTTGATATCGATGCTCGAATATTTCTAATAAAAATAATTTTTCCAATACCTTAAGCTTCTGATCTTATTATTAGAAGAGAAAATATCTGGTTAATCGTTTCACTCCACTTTTCCCTGAATACATTAATGTTCTTTAATATCTGAAAGCACGTAGACTTTTCTAATAAAATTTTATAACTATATTCCACGATATTCTGTTCCCCTTTTAAAATAACCTCTTTTCTCATACGTGGAACGAACAAGAGCTAAAAAAAAAGAAAAGGGAACAAAGAAAGATTTACACTTTTTTCTTTTTTTTTTACTTCAGTTAGATATAGATTTCTAGTGGCTTTATAATATTTGAAAGTGACGGACAGAGAGACTTTTCTAATAAAATTTTATTATACTCTTACAATATTCTTGAAATCATTGTTCCCCAGATTTCCTATGAACCTTCTTAACCTTAGTCACGATGTATCTGAAAAATACAAATATTACTTTCAGATTATATAATTTTTAAAAATATTTTACATAAACGTACAAAACCAATAAAATAAAAATGACTCTTCTTTTATCCTAGCTAGATATAAATTCTCATTGATTTTATAATATCTAAAAGCATTCCCTTTTAATCCTCTCAAGAGATCACATTGTGTACATCTGAGAAGTATAAATTTTGTAAATATACATAATCGTGAAGTATAATTTTTTCTTTAGAAACTTTCTGAGAATTGTAGTAAAACTAACCTGTACGTTGTTCGCGCTAATCTTTAGAAGATATGTTTCGTTTTCTCGACGATGAAACGAATGAAAGAAAAATTTCAAATGACACGTGCTTCCGTTTCTGATTTCAGCCGGTGGGTTTCGTGACTTTTCACACGAGGGCCGGTGCAGAGGCGGCGAAACAGGACCTTCAGGTAATACCCCGTTTCACGACATACAGGCATCGAGAGAGAAAAAGATGCTCGATAAAAACGCGAGAGGGCTCCCGCGGGCTCCCTTACAATTACATCCATCTTCTTTCTCTCTGTACGACTATATACAATATGTATATATATGTATATATACATATATATATATACATATATATATTTACACATAAAGTACAAAGAAAAACTGCCCGCAATTTTCTTTCCTCCCTTTTTTTTTTATCATTTTTTTTCTCTTTCTCTCTCTCCCTCTCTCTTTTCCTCTTTCTTTCTCTCTTTCTCAAGATAAATATGAAAATACACACCCTTGCCTTAGATTCCAGCTGGCACGGGTTAATGCTATTACCTCTTTAGTAGCTCTTTACCTTTATCAATTACCGTACACACGTACTTACACATACTGTTCTTTTTAATTAAAATGCTATCTTGCAGTTTTTCTTTTTTTTTTTTTTGGAGGGAGGATTTGAAATTATATATTCTTGATAAAAGATATTTTGGATATTGATATCGGACTTTTCGAGATTTTCTATAGATCTGTCAAGAGAGATCTATTCAAATGAAATTTCTAATAATCTAAAATTTGTTATATTAAAATCATTTGCGAGATTTTTGAATTGAAATCGAACATTTACATTTTGATTGAGAAGGACAGTACATACATATTTTTTCTCTCTCCTCTATTATATACATATAAAGTCTCTCTGTTTCTATATATACTATCTACGATTTAGCTTCTTCCTGTTTCTTTTACACCTGGGACGAATCCGTAGTATCAACTACCCATGTTTACTCCGTGTACGTATACCAAGATCGTATTGTAATAACGCTGGTTGCACCGTGTGACATTATCGTATTGAAATATACCTATATAGATATGGTGTTGTTTTGCCTCCTGATAAGCGTGTCACGTCCCCTCCTTTTTACCCTCTTCGACTCAACCCCCTTTCTCTCTCTTTCTCTTTCTTTTTCTATATATATTCTATTTTTTTCTTTCTCTCTATTTCTTTCTCTCTCTTTCTTATATCACAGATTCAAAATTTAATACAAAATCGTATGTATGTTCTATTTGAATATTACTCAAACGTTCTAATCTCACGATTCGAAAACATATTTGGAAATTACATTTTAAAAACATTTACAAATGTTGTTACACTGGGATTACACTGTAGATGATCACATGGAAAACGTTGAAAGTACATCATAGATAAATATTAAGAATAATTGTACGAGTTTAATATTTATAATTCTATTATTAAAATTTATTCCTTTCACATTAATTTCTGTGTCCAAGTTTTTACTGTTTATCTTCAATAAACACAAAGGGAAAAGAATTCAAGTTACAAGACACGATTCCTTATTATAATATAATTTTATCTGTATAACATTTTCAATCCTTTAATGTTAAAGCTGAAAAAGAGAAGAACAATCGTATAATTTTAAATTTTTAAATTAATTAACGTTTTAAACGTATTTTAAATATTTAAATCAAACGTGATGTTTTAATTTTTATTATTAAATCGCGAAAACTTACTTGTCAAAGTTTGGTATACATATAAACACGTATACAAATATTTATATTACTCATACACCGTATGACTCTAATTTATTTTTTTTCTTTTCTTTTTCCTTGTAATCACACCACCGCAATCGATCTCTCACGCAAGTTGCAATGTCTTTTATAACCCTGTATAACCGGTTATATACGAGAGAGAGACTTGAAACATCCTCTTGTCGGATGGACACGTTCGCTGAAAACAGGCTGGGACAGACTAACGAACGACCCACTTCTATCGATAGCTACTGTATCAACAGTAGGGACATTCACACACAAACACACGAGAGGCACGATCTTGTGCTAATTTTCCTGTTATTCGGCCAGACCCCAGATACAATCGTATCGTTTCTGCCAAGAAAACTTTCGTTGCCAGTCTGTTGACTGAATTTATTTTTTTTTTTCCTCTGAAACGAAAAAATAACATTGATTACAAAATCGAATAATTTTTCCTTAATAAAATAACAGAAAAATATTTGTTAAAAATATAATCTAAAATGTGTATTTTAAAATTAGAATTCGAAGAAAATTTTTATCCTAGTAGAGTTTTACAATTTTTCTTTTCGAAAAAAAAAAATGTCTACGATCCTTGTTTGATAAAAATCATGGATAGAAAAATTTCTCAGAAAACTAGATTAATTAACGAAAAAAAATTCAATTGTCGAGAAATGATCCATTTTTGAATTAAATATAAAATTTCACTGGCAACGAAAGGCTTTTGAACAAACGAAAGATCGTTAAGCGTGACTTCTCTTTCTCTCCCTCTTTCTTTCTCTTTCTTTCTCTCTCTATCTTTGTATTCTCCCTCACACAAATCCAAGCATCCACGTGTGCCTCCCGGTTTACTAATTTAGGGAATCTATTTGCAGCAGGGGGTTAGATTCGATCCTGATATGCCACAAACCATACGTTTGGAATTTGCAAAAAGTAACACAAAGGTTAGCAAACCCAAGCAACCAGCCGCTGCAGCAGCCACCTCGCACCCTGCTCTGATGCACCCTCTAACTGGACGTAAGTATGCACCGCCACTCGTTCACTCGCTGGATACGTTCTCACTACTATTCTCACCCACTGCACTCACTACAACTACAACGTATCTTCCTCCTTGTTGTTTCTCTCTCTATCTCTTTTTCTATTCCACTACCTATATGTCTATCTTATCTCTTGAAGTGTATTTTTAAATATACATATATATATATGTATGTATGTATATATACGTATATTTTTTTTCTTTTTTAATTTCTTCTTCCTTTTTTTTTTTTTTTTTTTTTTTTTTTAACCCATTCCACAACCCCACACGATCCCCCAATTTTTCAACCTTATACGACGTACGGGACACATTGGACAGCCGGTGGAAATGGTGCGATTGGAAGAAATAATTGTTTATTGAAGAAAAGATTGGAAAGGAATTTTTATCTCCCTCCCTTTAAAAGGAATTTTCGAAGATGTTTGTAATTTCATTTGCATTTTCATTCATTTGGGGAAATTTTTCTTATCTAAATGGCAAGATTTGAGATAAGAAACCGTTTCCAATCATAATTGATAAAGTATAAATAAATATATTCCTCGTTACTATGTTTTGAACTATAAATATATTTATATCTTCATAAAACTTATCAAATTGGTCGATTAAAATTTTTCTACGCGCACAACGAATTTATAAAATTGTTTGCAGAAAGCTTTGAAATTTAATATATCGCGTAAAAGAATGTCAATAACGAATTTAACGAACAATAATAAATTTCCTCGATTGCATTTTATTTAAAATTCGCGCGAATTCCATTTCGTGTCAAAGTCGATATATTAACTCAACTGGAAGCATTAATATCAATAAAATTTCACTGGGATATGGGATACATCCCAGCATGGAAATTTGCCGCGAGAAAATTAATTATCGCACCTTCCACCGCTGTCCGATCGGTTTGATATCGTGTGTGGGTATGCGTTTTCCTCGCGTTCTTTTCGGTTATCTTGCGGAAACAATAGACGTCAATATTAACTCTATCGATCATCCAATGTACAGCCAATGTTTCGCGATGCGCTCGAACGTAACTGAAACTCCGGTATGCCGTTTCTTCTTTTTTTTATTTGCATTCAAAGAAGAAAATTCTGAAAGGGAAATGGGATTTATCAGGTTACGTTCGTCCGTGTCACGTTATATATCGTAATCGTTAATCTAAGTTAATAAAATTAGAGAATAGAAAAAAAAATTGGAAAGAGAAATTTTCAGCGCCAAATATATGTATAATTATTGTTTAATCTTTAGGAATACCTTGCAGTTTCACGCAATTTCAAAGTAACTTCTTTCTTTCGTGCGAAATTTTAACTTAACCTTTTCGAAACTTTCGATCAATAATCAAAAACTTTTATTTTTATTTCCGTGTAAACAATCCATTTTCCTTCGTCCAAAAAGAAGAAATCCCTTCACTTTTAATCAAATTCAGCTATTTCATATAGGTCGAAAATCTGAAAAGAGAATGAATTAAAATAGAAAAAAAAGTTAGGTTAGGTAAAAGTCAAGGATGCGACTATCGTGGAATGCGATGCGAATCGATTTAAAGGAAGAACGAAAAGAAAAACTCGAGTAGATTCTTTCCATGTTTCTTTTACATCGAACGATAAATATGCAAATATCCATGTCGCGTGGAAGAGACACGTTGAAATAAGAATAATCCCCACCATGGTCAATTTTATTGGTTCGATTTCAACTTCGTTCGAGTGTATCGATTATCGATTGAGTGCAACCTCGTAAATATATAAAAACGTCAATTTTCGAATGATATCGATACTCGATGCTTCACGTTCAGGGCTCGTAGGTAGAAAAATTGTCTAGTTTTATGGTATGCGACGAAGCCGTAAAAATGCCGACTGTTCGCGTTTACGGGGATTTTTATGAACACAGTCGTCCCTCGCACGTATACGAGTTGCAGGTATTCTTTGTTTTAATTTAATTGAAATTTTTTTTTTTTTTTGGTTGAAATGTATTCTTCTGAAATGGGAGAAAGTGAAGATTGAAAATTTGTTTAATTTAAAAATATAATTAGAATTAATTGGAAGTGTGCAAAGAATAATAAATTATTTGTTGAAATAAAGGTTAGATCAAAAAAGTAAAGGTTTTTGAATAAATTTTATAATTGAATGAAATTGTAGAAAAAAAATTTTATAATATGTAATTTGTTTTACTAATATTATTAATTATTTGTGTTAGATATAAATTATTGAAATATAAATGAAGATTATATGGGAAACGATACTTCTTTGTGATTAAATGTGAATTGTAAATCAAGATAATTAAGAATTAATAAGTAACGTGTAAAATGTGTAATATTTACAATAATTCTTCTTCTATTTTCTAAAAAAACAAGCAGTGAAATTTTCGGTGATCTCGTGAGAAGCCTTGTATAGATACAGCTGAATTATCGAACTACCCCTACTAAAGAAACCTCTTCTTGGCACAGCAAGGGGTCTCAAATTCTTAATCAATACCATACGTTTCTCAAGAATGTCATTAAATTACATTTCGTAAACTGGTTTAGTCAAACATCTTCTCAAACATCATTTTGACGAAATCTAATAACATTACAATTGAATCAAAAAATTTATACTCTTGTTAGTATCAATTCAATCAATATCAATTTCAATATTAATTTTTCAAATTTACTTAGCAAAAATAAAAAATCTTTCATAAAAATCATCATTATTAATAACTTATTGAATCAACTTATAAACTTATATGAAACCTAACCTCTTAACCTATTAACAGAAACAGTTGGCTATTAAAAGAAACCTATATGGAAATTCTTTAATTCGAATGCTACAATAAAATTATTATCGAAATAGACTATTATTATTCCATTTCCTTATTATTACCAGAATCTAGAGTTACAAAGTCCAAAAACTTTTAATTTAATTATCAAAAGAAACTATTTATTATCCACTATTATCATCTTAGTATTAGGACTTACCATTATGTAAAATCGTGTCGACAAATTTCCAATTCCAAAAACCAAAAAACAGATCATCCAAACCGAAAATGCAAGAAATTCGTTAAATCGGTCACACGAGAAGTGACTTGAGAACACGATAGAGGTTACTCGGTGAATAAAACATGTCCGCTCGATCCGGAAAGATTGAGGCGCGAAACCGAGGAGAAGAATCGGGCGAACGTTGAGACCCTGGCGGAAATGTGTTGAATTATTGAGAGTCCCTTCGGTAAAAATAGCGCGATTTCCGCGTGAAAAGTCGCAATCTACCTCGATTTCGAGCTTTATATCGATAGACACGTGTCGAATTTCGAAACATGCCGATAAAATTTTTCCTTTTAGAACGATCTTGTAATATATAGATGGAAATTTATATGAATTAATTGGGAGAATTGAATTAAAAATGTTCGTTCGTATGGTAAGCGTAAATATATTCTCAAGTGTATTTATCTATTATTTATTTTTATCTGGCAAGATCTTCGTTCTTGAAGAAATACTTTGAGATACTGTTCACTGGTGGAAAGAAATTTCGCATGAGAGCACAGAGGCCTTCATTAGGATCGCCTATCCCCACTTCAAACGCTTTGTTGACACCACGCGTAGCTACGTAGTAGAAAAGCTATAATTCGGACATTCAAAGTCACAGTAAAAATTATTTGGATTCATGAAGTAACGTTAGGATAATCATCTAAAACTAAAATATTTTCGAAGCTATTAATTATTTCGTATAATATATTTAATTTATTCATATACGTATAATTATATATATCTTATATCTTAACTAATTGAATACGAAATTATATTTATAAATTAAACTATCGTTACAAATCGTAATTAGCTTACGCATATTGATGAAAAATAAAAAAATTTTTATACCATATCGATACGTTAAAATTTTCTGAATTCTATGCTTATGCTAATGCATCGAGGTTAAGATATAGATCATTTGAATTAGTATATGTAACCAAATATATGATAGAAACAAAAATGTATATGAAAAGACGTTTCCTTTCCCAAGACTTCTTTCCACAAGTGAACAGTACTTTATTTCTTATTGCAATTGTAGTCTGTTCATGAAAGAAAAGTTTTATAAAATTTATTATAATAAATTTATTATAAATATATTATATTTATATATATATATTATATATATATATATCTGTAATATTTTTTATAATAATTTCAAAAACTTTCGTCTTTCCATTCTTATAGAAGAAATTACTTGTTGGAGAAAGTCTTCGAAGAGTTAATAAATAAATTTCATTCTACACAAAGATATACGAAAAAATTATTATTAAAAAAAAACGATTGATCTTTTGCAAATTTATTTACAGGGAACTAAAAATAACATAAAGAGACGATAAATCACATATGAATAAGTTTTTTTTTGAATATACTTGCATAAATGCAATTATTTTGTTTCTTAATTTTTACCAATAAATATCTTATATGTAACTTATATTGTAATAGAAATGTTCGTGTACAAGGATTTAAAAATGTCGACAGTATAATGAAAACGTCAATTCTTGTAATGTTTGGAAAGTATCGAAATAATGTAAAAGTGTTGATACAAAAATGGCGCCAAGAATATTCGCTTTCCTGTGATGTGTATGCGCGCGCATACACTTGAAACGTATATGCGATCGGGCGCAAATAGATGGAAAAACGAAAGGAAAAATTGTTGTTTTGTTTATATATAAATACTAAGAATGAATACGAAGTAATCATTCTGTGCTGCTTCAACGTGAATGAAAAAAAAAACTCCATTACCGATGATTGGCGTTTTTGTAATAGATTCGTCTTATTTTTTTTTTTTTTTTTTTTTTTTTTTTTGCGTAATTGTTTCAAGTATTACGATATTCGTGTTTCTGAAAATAGATAAATCTTTAAGCGTTGTGTTTATATATGTAAAGTCGCGAGTCATATCTTGTATATTTATGTTTGAATTGGATATAACGCGATCGCTATTTCGTTTTTGTTTTGTCTTTTCTCCTTCAACCGTCGCGTCGTACGACACGACATACCGAGCTCAGTAGAACAAAGGCATCGACACGATTCACATCGTAGTATAACGCGGTATATTCCTATTTCCTTTATTAAATATATTCTTTTTTATTATATATTTTACATATATATATTTTTTGTTTAATTTATATTCTTTCTTCTATATTCTTTATTTCGATCAAATCATTTCACAATTCATTTCCTAATATTAAGATAGATATATTTTTTTGAATTTATTTTAATAACTGAAAGAATTCAAAGTATCTTTATTATTTTCGTAAGTATTTAAGAAATTAGAGGAAATGAAATTTTCTTTATTATTTGCCTTTTTCTCTCGTGGAATAAGTTTGGAATCTCGTTTCGTCTTCTTACTTATTTATTTTCTTTCTATCGTATCGTCGTCATTGTTCGTTGTATCCACAAAACTCCAACTATTTTTTGAATCAATATTTAAGTATTTAAGTGAAACTTTGACACTCGATAGTTATTTGCAGTTAATGAATGCTACATTGAAAGTGACAATTACTCTCTGTTTCATCTTTAATGCGAAAAATAAATACTCTCGGCAGTAATTCTCAAATAGATTATTTTTTATAGGCGTTATGTTTTCACGTTTGTCAGATCTTCATATTTATTTATTGACTAATTAACAGACTGACGCTTAATTAGTCAATCCGTAGAATCTAAATATCTATTTACATGTAAATGATTGTAATTAAAATTACAAAATATAAAATAAATAGGTATACGTAATTACATTTCTATCTCGCAAAAATTATGATTAATAATTTCATCGAACAAACATTTTCTTGATAATCTCGGAACAAAAAAAAAAGAAAAAAACAAAATCCGTCATTTTGATTGTTCTGAACGTTAAACATTCACGATTAAAAAGAAAGAAAGAAAGAAAAAGAAGGAAACGTTATCGACAAAATAAATCGACCAGAATTTCGAAGACCAGAATTTTTCCACGAGTTGGAAGACTAATTTCCAACACCGGTTGCGCAGCAGGCTCATAAACGCGTGAACGAATGAAAACAGTTTTACTGGTGTAGTGTCATAGCCACCGAACCGTGTTAATAAAACATGTTAATAAAACATGACTCATACGAGAAACTTGTGTACGCTTACAAAAACTTAAAAAATCGTTTCTTCGAGGAAATGCATTTTCTTGAGTATCTATATACATACATATATATATATATATATATATATATATACACAATATATATTTGTATCTCGAATCTGTATGGAAACTCGAGGTCGATCAAACGGCTATCCCCAAGAGAGAGAGACGAGACTACTCGTCATGGTCACGTAAACGGCTATTGAAAATAATTGGTAATCCGTTTCGTTCCGGCATACCGCCTCCGGGGGGTTAACCGATCGGGGGAAGAGGGTTTTGGAAAAAAAAAAAAAAGAAAGAAAGAGAAAAAAGAAAAAGGCAATCTCTTTTGATCAATCCTTTCAACAGTTGAAACAAAAGAAAGTTCGGAAATCAGAACTTATCTTTTTTTTTTTATTATCATCGAAACATTTTTATCGCTTACACATCGATATTGTATAAAATATTCTATGATATGTAAAAATATTCCTTTTATCGATCTTTTTTTTTTTTTTTTGCGATATAATCGTTGAAACGTTGAGAGAGGAAAGTAGGAATCAAATGTCTTTTTTTTTTTTTTTTTGCATCTCGAAACTTTTAGGTACTTCGTTTATGACGTATAAAATATCATGTACGATATGTAAAAATATTCCTTTTCTATCGATCTTTTTTAATGGTCATTGAAATAAGAGAATGTATAGGGAATCGGATGTATCTATTTTTATTATTCGAAACGTTTAGGTATTTTAAAATCGGACTCGATTTGTTTTATTCCATATTTCACTTTTCTATTTGAGTTTTGCCTTAGTGACCAGATATTGGATAAATTTTAGGATAATAAAAAATTGTTAGATCGATTGAATATATTCATTTTGAATTTGAAAAATTTCTCGTAGACGAAAGATTTGGATATAGAATATAATATTTTGATAAAAATATTTGAATGATCGATCGAATTTTAAGAATATAAAATGAAGAACTTGATAATTGTAAATAAAAAATAAAAAAGATATTTGGTGAAAAGTAACAATTTTGTAGAAAAGAGGAGAATTTAATCCGAATTTAGAGTTTGTACAAATATTATATATCTAGTTTATAAATACGTACGTGTATACTATTTTTCTCGCGGAAATATAGTCGGACTTTAATTCCAAATTTTACGAACCCGATGGGGCGAGCTTAAGAAACTTGAGAGAAAGCAAAGTTAAGTCTGACGATAATTTTCCTCCTAAATCGGAATGCTAATGAGCAAACCTATTAATACTTGATAGAAGAAGAAACCACGAATTTCTATATCTCGTGTACATTCTATGTTTTTACTTTTCTACTTAATAAATAAACATTTATGAAAAAAAAATGTAAACGCGAAAAATTATTAAGAAATTATACAAAAGATAATTTAAAAATTATCGTTTTGTGTTTTATTTTGAAATTTTAATTTTGAAAAAAAAATTCATACGCATATTTAATATTTCAATGATAATCATCGAAATATTCCATCTAAACATTTAAAAAGAATTAGATTTCCTTTGCTCCTTAAAAAATCCTTTTGTGAAAAAATCTATCGAATTTATAATTTTAAGTGAATATGAAGATTAATATGATGTCGAAAATTTACGATTATTAAAAATAGAAAAAAATATCGTTCGTTTCGATAGCCTGGATATACATAAATTTCATTATATAAGAAAAATATTACATTTACTATTTTTTCTGTTTAATTACATAAGATTTAACATGTACACTTTCCTATTCCGTACAAAATATAATTTGAATTTTGTAACAATAGAATTTATCTCATCATTTTCTCTTTTGCAATTGTTAATATTATGTGGATGTAAAAATATTCGTGGCACGATAAAATTTATTTTTATGTGTATAAATGAAAACGTAATAATATTAATTTTTTATAAAAAAAAGAAAAAAAGGATACTCAAAGGAATGATGTTTTTTCGTGAAAGTATTTAGAAGAAAAAAATTACTGCAAGAAACTGATCGAAAGATTGTGGTGCAAGCAATAAAATCAGTATTGTCGGCGAAGCACGTACTTAATTATAGTATTGGTAATACAAGCAAATAATTTAAATACGTGATTCTGAAATACGTAATTTTACGAAGATTGCAAAACGCAACTCTTTTAAAAAAAAAATAATAAAGATTAATTACAATTAATCGTTTAACACAAATCTCACAAATATAAAATCACTCAAATATTAATTAATTATCGCGCAAGATAAATTATTTTCAAGAGCAACCTCCTCTCTTCCCTATATATCTCAAAAAATGGAAATATTGATGGTAAAATTGAACTCGA